GGGGGGGCGGGGGGCAGGGGCCAGGCCAGGCCAGTTGTGAGATAGTAGAAATAATGAAGATGATGATGCTAGCGAACTCCTACAGGTTGCTTACTTGTGCCAGGCACTGTTCCTAGCGCTTTACAGAGGTTGCCTCATTCAATTATCGAAACAAGGCTGTGAACTAGGTACTCTGGTTATACCTGTTTTTTAGATGAAATATCAAGGGACTCCAGGCTCCCACTAGTAAGTGGCCGAGCTGGGATCCAAACCCAGGTCCCTCTGCTCCAGAGGACTCCTCACTCTTAATTGCTACATAGTAAACAGATGCGCCACCAAGCATGAAGGGCCATGGAAGCTATGAGTCCCGTAACTCACTGTACAGATGAGGAAACTGAGGCCCAGAGCAGGGCAGTGCCTCCTGGGGACACCCAGGAGTTGGTGACTGCCTGACCTCGGCCCTCTCCCCCTCCCTTCATAGGAAGCGCCGTTTCGCCCCCACCAGGGATATCACGCTCCGCTCCTGGCACCCCAGGTACCCCACGCTCACCGCCTCTGGGCCTCATCAGTCGACCTCGGCCCTCACCCCTTCGCAGCCGCATCGACCCATGGAGCTTTGTGTCAGCCGGGCCACGGCCTTCACCCCTGCCCTCACCACAGCCTGCACCCCGCCGGGCACCCTGGACCTTGTTCCCAGACTCAGACCCCTTCTGGGACTCTCCACCCGCCAACCCCTTCCGAGGGGGCCCTCAGGACTGCAGGGCGCAGACCAAAGACGTGGGTGCCCAGGCCCCGTGGGCGCCAGAGGCAGGGCCCTGAGTGGGCCGGGCTGCTCCCCACGCGCCCACCGCCCTCCAGGAGCCTCAGCATACACTGGAATAGGAGCCGGTCATGCCTCTCTAGCTGCCTTGGTTTCGCCCAGGGACCCCGCCCCCTCTGGGGGTCAGGAACACTACACTGCACAGGAAGCCTTCACACTGGACGGGGGGCCTGTACCCCTCCACACCTGCAACGTGCGGGTCCCCCGACTTACCCGCCCCACTGGGGCCCAACACTGTACCCAGCTGGTTGGGAGGACCAGAGCCTGACTCAGGGAATTGCCCCCAGGGGTGGTGCAGGGAGGAGGGGAGGTGCAGGGGATAGGGGCCGGCCATAGCTGTCACCAGCACTTTTGACCAAGTCCTGCTACTGTGGCCCCTGCCCCAGGGCTTCGTGCCTGGGCCCCCCTGCCCCGGGGGTCATCTGGGGCCGGGGCTCTCTGGGTGCCTTCCTGCTGCCCCGGCCAGGGTTGGGGCCATGGCCTCGGGATCCAATGAAGCCAAATAAACTCCCCAAGCTGTCTCCCCAAGCACAGCCTGTCACTTTCTTGGAGGTAACCAGGGGATCCAAACTGTCACATGACCCTGGTGACCTCATGCCCTCAGCACAATGGCAGTTGGCCTGGGCCTAGGCTGGGATGCTCTGCACCACATCCCTCTCCTGGGATCAAGTCTGCTTCATCATCAGGCATTCAAGGCCCTGCTCAGCCTCCCTGGCATCCACACGCTCGGGCCCCACCCATCTCCTCCCACCCTCACTAAGCCTTTCCCACCGTTTCAAGCAACTGTGTTTGCTCTGATTCTTCCTGTTGCTGGGTGGTCCCGGCTTATCCTTAAGGCCCAGCAACAACATCACCTCCCCTAGGATGCCCTCCCGGCCATGCTGCTCCCGCCCCAGGCAGCTCGCTGAACTCAGGAGCCCACAGCCCTCTGGGTGGCATCTTGGTGGTTTGTCCTGGGTTTGTTTCTATCCCGTGGTCTGGATACAAGAGGGGGCCCCCACCCTGACACCTGGCTCCACTCAAGCTTCTCTTAATGCCACGGGGTTCTGCGGACTACCCCTCCCACACCACGCCCTAGGGCAGGGGACCCTGGGCTCAGCCCCTCCATGGTTTATGGGAGGCGGGGTCCAGGCTCCCTCTCCCCGTCCCCTGCACACTCCATGGCAGCCAGACCTACTGTGGCTCCAGTGTTCACCAGGGTGGGGACTCAGGAGGGCTGGGCGTGAAGGGTTCTCAGGAAGCACTCAGAGTGGAGGGAGCATCATCTGTCCAGGGCGCTCCAGGCATCCTTCACTCCTGTCCTCGCCTCACCACCCTGTCCCACCTGCCCTCTCCCACTCCACAGCCCAGGCCGCCACCTTTCCGTCCAGGATGCCTGCACTAGCCCTCTCCATAGGTCCCCTGAGCCACATGTCCTCAAGGCCCTGTGTCCTGACCCCCAACTCCGCCCCACCCCAGCAGGCCCCTGTTTTTCTCACCACCTTAGCTCTTTCCCACCTGGCCTGGTCTCTTCTCTTCCCCAGCTGAAATGTCGCTCCTCAGAGGGGCTTTCCAGGTGATGCTCCCCCGGAACTCTCCCCCGTTACCCAGGGCGTTTCCTTCAGGGAGCTTATGCTGATGTGAACTTGTCCTGCATCCTTGCTAACAGGCTTCTTGTGGGAACACCAGGAGGGCAGGGACCTGGTCTGTCCTCTCCCCTAATGTCCTCTGGGTCCGGGCACCTGCTGAGCGGGTGAATGGGGTTTGTGACTGAGTGAGCTCATCCCTGAATAAACCACCACAGTGTGACTAGGAGCCAGTCAAGTTACCTCTCGGGGTCTCGCCTTCCTCCATCCTGCCCCGGACCACCCACCACCCGACCACCCAGCTTTGGCGAACTGGGCAAAAAACTTCTTGCCCCAGAAACGGGGAGGAGTTATCCAGCTCACCTCCTCGCCTCACCCTCCCAGCCCCACTCACCCCAGCTGCTGTCCCAGGCTTCCCTCCCTTGCCAGCCACCCACGCTGCACCTCCTCCCAGCCCCAACCTGCCCGGCCCCTCCCAGGTGCCTGTGGTGGAGCAGTCGGCTCCTAGGGCACCTCTGATGGACTCTGGGCGGCACACCATGGGGACTCTGAGGCCCTGGGCCCGATACGGGCTACTGGTTGTGGCCCACCTGCTAGCCCTGGGGCTTGGGGCTGCAGTGCTCCAGGCCCTGGAGGGGCCTCCAGCACTCCAGCTCCAGGCCAACCTCAGGGCTGAGCTGGCCACTTTCCAGGCGGAGTACAGGGCCTGCCTGCCACCCAGGGCACTGGAAGAGCTGCTGGGCACCGCCCTGGCAGCCCAGGCCCACGGGGTTTCCAGCCTGGGCAATGGCTCCCAGGCCAGGAACTGGGATCTGCCCTCAGCCCTACTCTTCACTGCCAGCCTCCTCACCACCACAGGTAAGGCCGCCAGGAGGCCAGGTATGAAGGGGCTCTTGAGGCCATTGCTACCTGGGGTCCCTGGGGGTGCAGCCCTTCCCCCAGCCCCAAAGTGCTAGACAGAGCCCAGGCCTTATTAGGCCTGTCATCACAGCTGGGGCTCCCCACACCAACACACCCCAACTAGTGCCTCAACTTCAACTGCCAGGAGGGGTGTGTGCTCCTCAGTCCCACCCCCAGGCACACTTTGAGACCCAGGAGAGGTGCTCAGACCCTGCGGGCCTGAGGCGAGACTAGGAACATGAATTATGGGATGGATTCTTGGATGGAGGGAAATGGAGTGAACCCAGGGAATACAGGACCACCATCCCAGAAGGAGTGTGAGGGAAGGCTCCTGGGGGAGGAAGTCCCCATGAGATGGTAGCCAAGGCAAGAGGGCACAGAGATAGACACGAAGGAATTCCTGGCAGCGGGAACAGCATGTGTGAAGGCCCAGAGGAATAAAGCAGTGGGACCCACAGCACTGGGGCGATTTGTCCTGCAAAGTGTCTGAATATTTTTTAAAGGCCATTTTCCATCTTTTTAAAAAATTTATTTATTTTTGGCTGCGTTGGATCTTCGTTGGCCGTGCGCAGGCTTTCTCTAATTGCGGCAAGCGGGGGCTACTCTTCGTTGTGGTGCGCAGGCTTCTCATTGCGGTGGCTTCTCTTGCTGCAGAGCACGGGCTCTAGGCGTGTGAGCTTCAGTAGTTGTGGCACGTGGGCTCAGTAGCTCTGGCTCACGGGCTCTAGAGCACAGGCTCAGTAGTTGTGGTGCATGGGCTTAGTTGCTCCGCAGCATGTGGGATCTTCCCAGACCAGGGCTCAAACCTGTGTCCCCTGCATTGGCAGGGGGACTCTTAACCATTGAGCCATCAGGGAAGCCCCATTTTCTATCTTCTTTTGGAAAAATTGGGAAACCTATTTGCACCGAGCCAGAATCCTTGTTGGAGTAGAACAGGGCCTGCCCTGGGGGCAGAGCACATGCTCTCCAGCCCACCCCAGTCCCCACCACTCCCTTTTGTCTTACTTCTGACTCCTCTAGGTATTTGTGTTTACAACCCTGGACCAGCCGACCCTGTTTTCACCTCTCCCTGCCTTTGCACACGCTTTTCCAGCCTTGAATTCCTTTTCTCATGTGCGCTGCCTCTTTTGCAGCCCTTTGTGTCAGGTGTCCCGACTGGTTTTCCTGCCTGCCTTCCCCACTGAAGCCTTGGCAGACTGATTCCAGCACAAGGCCTGGCACCCAGGATAACTTGATATACCTTAGGGGAATGAAAGAAGGGGTAACATTTCACCTGGTGGGTTTGGAAGTGGGAGTCAAGGGCAGAGCTGAGGAATCTCTCAGGAAGCCAGGCTGCCTTGGGGTAGGACAGCAGCTCTCAGAACTGTCCCAGCTACAAGAGGCCTGAGGGGACTGTCTCTTTTAATCCTTTCTTGTTCCAGAAAATGAAAGAGTGGCCCGGAGAGGTTAAGGGACTTAAGTAAGACCCCAAGTGAATGAGGAGCAGAGCCAGACAGAGCCCCTGCCTGAACAGTTCCAGCAATCTCGGCCACCAGAGGGCAGCCTTCTACCGGAGGGAGGCTGGAAGAAGTGGGTACCCGGCAGGAATCCCACTCAGGTGCTCATTACCCTTGTCTCTCTCCTCTCCAGGTTATGGCCACATGGCCCCACTATTGGCAGATGGAAAGGCCTTCTGTGTGGTCTACACGGCCCTGGGGCTGCCAGCCTCCTTAGCACTTGTGGCTGCACTGCGCCACTGCCTGCTGCCTCTGCTCAGCCACCCGGGTGCCTGGGTAGCCATCCATTGGCAGCTGACGCCGGCCACAGCTGCGCTACTGCAGGCATCTGGACTGGGCCTGCTAGTGGCTGGTATCTTCGTGCTGCTGCCAGCACTGGTGCTGTGGGGTCTGCAGGGCGACTGCAGCCTGCTGGAGGCCATCTACTTCTGCTTCAGCTCACTCAGCACCATCGGCCTGGGGGACCTGCTGCCTGGCCGCGACCATGGCCTGCATCCAGTGCTTTACTACCTTGGCCAGTTCGCACTTCTGGGTGAGTCCAGCTGCCAAGGAGCGTGACAGGGAGGAGCAGAGGAAAGAGGAGCCTGGACTACAACTCCCATAAGCCACTGGGGGAGGCTGAGCCTCACGGGTTGGAAGGACCCTGCCCCAGGGCAGGGTGTGGGAGGTTTAATCCGAAGTGCTAAGAGAATTTTGAGGGCTGGTCACTTGCTGGGAGGGGAGTGGGGAGCGTCAGTCAGCACCCTGAGAGCTGCCCTAGTAACCTCTCCTCCCCAGGTTACTTGCTCCTGGGGCTCCTGGCCATGCTGCTGACTGTGGAGATGTTCTTGGAGCTGCCCCAGGTCCGTGCCATGGTGAAGTTCTTCAGGTCCAGGGGCCCTCTGAACGCTGAGGACGAAGGTGGCATCCTAGGCCAGGATGAACTGGCTCTGAGCACCCTGCCACCCTCAGCAGCAGCCCCAGAACGGGCCCCAGCTTGCTGACAGATGTCAGTGATGGAGTTGAGCTCCTTTCAGGTGGAGGAGCCTGAGGAGGAAGCCATCGGGAGTGGCTGGGAAAGCCACTAGGGGTGGGAGGGGAAGGGATGGATGTGAGGACCTCAGGGAATAATGTGTTAATAAAAAATAAAATGGGCAACACCGCCGACTGTTTTTGTCTTTCAAAATGGGACTTCCCTACAGCAATCAACAACCCAAACCCATCATCCTTCGAAGGCAGAGGTGCTGCTCCACCGGCATCTGAGAACCTCAACTCCACAACAGCCCCAGCAAGGATCGCAGACAACCTTATCCGCCGAGACCCCACCCCCTTCCGTCTATTGAAAGCCCCAGAGCACTGGCTTGGCTTTTTCTAACTTTATTGCTCCCGAGGAACAGGAAGAAGGGGAAGGGCGGGGATGCGGCAGCTCGAGAGCCGTCCCTCTCCCTCGGTGCTGGCCGGCCGGGTCCTGCCCTCGGGGAGGGGTTCTGGGGGGCGTGCCTGGGACCCCCCAGCCCACCACGAACACACGCACACACACTCACACGGACTAATAAATACGCCCGGGCGGCGTGGCCGCCCAGCCGCCCCTGTCCGTCGGGGGGCCTGAAGGGCCGCGCGTCCCCTCCTGGTAAAGGGTGACGACGGCCCCTACTGGCCACGCGCGGCATTGGGGAGGGTCCGGTCCTCCGGAGCGCAGGCCCGAAGCGGCGACCGGGCGCGACGGGGAGAAAAAGCTGCGGTCTGGACGGACCGGGAGGGGCGAAGACGTCCGGGCCCTCGCGGCCTCAGCTCAGCACACAGCGTTCGCGCCGGCTCAGCTGCCGGCTCAGCTTGCGGCGCCGCTGCTCCAGGCCGCGCTCCAGGCGCTCGTCCTCCTCCAGGGCGCTGGGAGGGAACGGTTTCAAGTCAGCCCCAGCGTCGCGCCCCACAGGCAGGCCGCCCCCGGGGTCCAGACCGAGCACGCCTCCGAGAGCACCCCTGGAGCCTCCCAGCTCCCAGCGCATCCCGGCCCCACTCACGTCCGCTCCTTCTGGTCCAGGTTCCGGACCAGCTCGTCGCGCTGGTTCACCAGCGACACCAGCTCCTCCAGCAGGAGCTGCTCCCGGTGCTGCTGCGCGGCCGTTTTCAACCAGTCTGAGGGCAGAGGAGGCTGAGGGTCAGGAGGCGCCAGCCCCTGCCCGGTCCTGGTCCCCGGCCTCCGGGCCCCATCTCCCACCTTCAATGGCCAACATGGCCCGTAGGTCCCGGCTCAGCAGCTCGAACCTCCGCTCCAAGTCCTGCTCTTCGATGCTGGGGGTTGGGGTGCCAGGTCAGGGAGAGAGGAATGGCAGGGAGCGCCCAGGGTTTGGACCGCTCCCTGACACCCCCGCCCCCCCACCTCACTGCCAGTTCCCATAGATGGCTGGATGGAGGTCAGAGCTATACCGTAGTCCCAGCCTGGAATCATCTCTTCTGTTTTTGTTTTTTGGGCGGCACGCGGGATCTTCGTTCCCTCAACAGGGATCAGACCCCGGCCCAGCCCGCTGCAGAGGAAGCACGGAGTCCTAACCACTGGACCTCTAGGGAAGCTCCTCTTTTGTTTCGGCTGTTCCCCAGCTGCTGGGTGTTTATATTGTCTCCTCCCCTCATCCCACCCCATTTTTAACAAATAAGAAACAACCCGGAAGGATTATTTAGATGGATATTATTCATAAACAGCAAGTATTGGACTATAATTATTCTGAAAAATGACCCAAGATGTAAAAGGGAGGCAAAACCACCTCCACCATGCAGGACTATAAAGGCCATGAAGCCCAGAATTGCTTCTGAGCCCACTCAGGAAACCAGCTCAGCTGTCTCTAAGGCTCAGTGTTCCTTCCTGTAAAGGAACAGGGTCAAACTGGGGCACTCAGCACTGACCTGCCACAGTTTTCTTTGGGCCTCGATTTTCTCATTCATAAAAATAGTACCAATTTAAGAAGTATACACTTTATACAGGAAATTAGGGGGGAAATTAAGATGGTTGAGCAATTTCTCCAAAAAAAAAATCCAGAGAAAGAAGAAAGCAGTGAACAGTTCCAATTAAAGTGGTTAAAGTGGTTCCATCTGCTCTGGTGGCCCTGGGTGGGCAGGGGTGGGGCCTGGACAGGGAAGCACAGGCACTCACAGCAGCTGCAGCTGGTCCTGCCTCCGGATGAGAGCGTTCTTCTTGTTGACTAGTGTGAACCACTCCTGGATCAGGACCTCCTCCTGCAGCCTGTTGGCACCTGAATCGGGCCAGGGCAGTCACCAGGCCTGCCACTGACCCCTGTGTCAGCAGCAGGGAGGCTGGGGGCGGGGGGATGGTGTCTGCTCCCTTGTGGCATCTCAGAAACCTGAGCTGTGCGCCTCCAGCAAGCTGCTTCCCGGCCGGGGGGCCTCAGGGTGCCCGGCTGTAAATGGGGACGATGACCCCAGCCTTGTCTCCTCCCACTCCTCCCAGGGTCAGAAAGAGCTGCAGGGTGGGGTAGCCGTGGTGGCACGTGCTGCGGTGTGGACTCCAGATGCCTGCCCCACCTGATTCCATGAGGCTCCTCAGCTGCATCTCCACCTCGGCCGCCCGCCCATCTATCTGCCTCTGTTCCTGCTCCAGGGCCTGTAGCTCTGCGCACACATACTGACTTGTGTCCTGGAACCGTTGCTGGGGTGGAAAGCGGGGGCAAGGGACAGGGTGGGCTGAGCCCAGGCCCTGCCTAGGAAGCCCACCCATCACTCCTCCCACCTCAGCCCTCCTTACCAGCCCGGCCTCCTCCACTGGGCTTGGGGGCAGCTCCTCCAATGGGGGAGTCCCGCCTGTGGACAGATACCAGGCTAAGGCGCCCCCAGCTGACACCTGTCCCCAGAAGGTCCCCAGCTCAGGGTCTGTGAGCAGCCCGAGTTCAGCTGTGTCACCACCCCTCAAAACTACTCACCAGGGGCCTGCTGTGGGGCAGGGCTGGGGTCAGGGCTCACGACTTCCTGTGGAGGAGGAGGCCGGTAAGGGCTTGGAGGGGCTCCCCAACAGCCCGCCCTGGGGCCAGCCGGAGCCCCACTCACACAGGGGAGGGGGGACCTCAGTTCCAGGCCCTGCAGCTTCGAGGTCCTGCATGCACAGAACTCCACCCCCATCCCTTCTGGGGAAGTGCCTCCTAGAGCAAAGGCCTTCACCACCCCTGGCCCTGTGATCCTGGGCCAGTCCCCTCCCACTGGCCGAGCCTCACAGTCCTCGTTCCTGGGGCCTCACAGGGCTTTTGTGAGTCGGGGGTGAAAGGCTGTGAGGGGCCCAGCTGGGGCCTCTCCTTCCCCCTTCTGCCCCCTCCCCCATGAAGCTCCCTCAGGTCACCTCAGACTCTGTCACCTAGTGCTAGCATCTCCATCATGGCCAGGGCCCCGCACAGTGACACTGAGCTGAGCTGATGTGGCCACCAGTACCTCCGTCTCCTGGCCGAACGGGGCACCCTCCCACCTTCTCAGTCCCCACACCTAGAGAATGCTGTGCTCGCCGAATAACACTTGGAATAGAACAGGCAGCTGCACCACCAATTTCAGCCTGGAAGGGCAGCGCTGGCCCCTCATGTGCCCTGCCCCTGACAACTTGCTGGCACTGTCAGCCCCGGGGGCCCCCAAGTTTCAGCCCAGCTGATAGCCAGGCCCCTTTGATGGCTCCTGCTCTGACTACCTTTCCAGGTCACAAGGTGGGGAGAAAGTGTTGAGCCACCCCCACCCTGCAACTCTGAAAGTGTTGAGTCCACCCCACCCTGCAACTCTGAGAGGCAGCCCTGGACGTCCCCTGCTCAGGGGCCCTCCTCTGTGGTCTGGGTAGGTGGCGGCCTCTTCACCAGCCTCCCCCCATGCCCTGCCTGCTGACTTTACCTTCAAGCCACAACTAAAGGGTCTCCCTAAACCTTTGACCCTGATGGTGTCACTCTCTTCACACCCCCTCTCCGCCCCCAGCCTTGTTGCCACGGCCTGGTGGCAGCTCCAGCCTCAACTCCTACTGCCCCGAGCCCCACCCAGATGCCACCCTCCGGCCCCAGTGGTGGACTTTCGCTTCCCCAAATTGTTTCCTCAGCCTGGAGCGGCCTCTGTCTTGGGCAGCTGGACGCCAACTCGACCTTCCTGACCCAGCTCAGCCCCACCTCCTCCAGGGGCCCCTTCACAGGGCTTTCTTCCTCCCTCCCTAACTTTCAGGCCTCCTGAAGCCTCCCCGACTCCCACCCTAGCCCCCAGGGCCTCTCTCTTCACAGCTGTTGGTTACGCCTGTCTCCCTAAGCAGCAGCAGCCTCTGCAGACAGGTTGGGGTCCAGAGAATGCACTCAGGGCACACCGGTTAACAGAAATGGCTGATATACATTAAGCATCTATTTGTGTGTTGGGTGCTGTACGTGCATGAACTCATTTAGTTTTCCCAAGAACACTGTGAGGCGGGGAAGGTTACCATCCCCACTTTACAGATGAGGAAACAGAGGGTCAGAAATGACACTCAAACAGGGCCAGCCCAGGCCTAGGGTTGTCTAATCCAAAAGTTTGTTCCCAAGCTTGGCCACCAATTTGCTGTTTGCCTCTGGCCCAGTCACACCCACTGGGCCTGTGTCCTTGTATGTAAAGGACATACAAGCCCCTGGGGGTTGCAGGGCTCCAGAAAGACATCTGGGGAAAAACACAGTCCCCCCCTTTTAAAAAAAATTTTTTTTTAATAGAGTACACTCAGGTTGGGGTACCCCTCTTTTTTGTTGTTTGCTTGTTTGTTTGTCTGTTTGTTTGTTTTGGCTGCACCGTGCAGCATGTGGGATCTTAGTTCCCCGATCAGGGAATTGAACCCGGGCCCCCTGCAATGGAAGTGCGGATTCTTAACCACTGGACTGCCAGGGAAGTCCCTCACAGTTCCCCTCTTTTGACAACACCCTGCAGGAGTACCTCAATGCCATTTTGCAAAAAACTTTCATGTCTTTACTTCTCATCCTCAGGAAAAGAGCACAGAGAGATTAAGTGGCTCGTCCAAGGTCACACAGCCAGTTCATAGTGCTGGGCCCAGTAGAGGGCGCCATTTTAGAGTTCAGTGTCAGAACCGGGGTTCACACCAGTATCAACTCCCTTTGTCTTTTCATATCCCTGAGCCTCAACATTCCCACTTGCAAAAGGGGGTAACTGTTCCTTCCTAGAAGGAGCAGTTGCTGAGGAGTTGAGGGGGCAGACCAGGCATAAAGCAAGTGCTCAACCAATAGGGCAGGTGGATGCAGGAGTGGAGAAGCCCCAACCTCAGAAGCAACTAAGCTTACTCATGGCAGCCTTGATGGGAATTCCAACGCTTCCTCATGTCTGACCCAAAGTCCCCTTTCTACACCCTCATGTGTGGCCCCTCCTCCAGGAAGCGTTGCTGGGCCACAGCAGAGGCACCCTGCCCTCCTCATGGCATTGTTTCAGCCCTGCCCCAGCTTCAAGGTGACTGACTTCACCCCATCCAGGTCTCTGGGAGCTCACAAAGCCAGGGGCAGGCCCTACCTCCTCTTACTGTACGCATGGGGGATGGGGGATGGGAGTGGCCAATGAGGAAGCGTCCCCTCCAGCCCCATGGGTTATATATCTCCTGTGGGACAAGGGTTGGAGGGGGGCCTGGCTTGGAAGGACCAGACGCTGGGACTTGGGCCCAGAAAGATGGAGCCTCCTGTTTTAAGATATAAAGAGCCATTGAGACACATTAAGGCGGCTTTGGCCAGAGGCCAACACAGGCCAGGATAGCACAGTTCCTATGGGTGCCTCTGATGCCCTTCCTGTTTCTCATTCATAGGCTCAATGCTGCACCTCTGACCCTGCACTCAGGGGTCCTGCTCTCCAGGCCAGCCTCATCACCGCCTGCGGACCTTAAGGGAGGTGACTGGCAGTTCCCTAAATGAGACCTGAGCTTCCCTGCTGCCACATTTTTACTTGTGAGGTCCCACCTCTTGAGAACCAGCCCTCCGATTCTTCACCTGGGAAAAGCTGCCCATCTTATCAGCCTGCCTCAAGTGGCTGCTTCTTCCAAAAGGCCTCTCCCAATTTATTCCCTCTTTTCCTTAGAACTTAGGGGTCATCCCTGGACAGCTGAAGGCTTGAAGCAGCCTGACAGAGCTGCCCCTGCTGTCCAGGACGGTGCTGCTGGAAAGCCCATGGCCGGGACTCCAGTGGCTGTGAGTCCTTGAGCAAATCCCTGCCCTCTCTGGAACCATCTCCTCTTTAGTGTATTGACCATGAGACACCCTGGGAGGCTGACCTGAGACCTGCAAGGGATGGGGGAACATGGGCACCCAGCAGAGTCTCCCATCTCCAACTTTCCATTATCAGAGAAAAGAGGAAACTGGTTTCCAGTGTCTGGAGTTAAGGATCCAAGTCAGAGTATCTTGGGGTTGGAAGGCCCTGGAGAGCTCCCTTGAGAATAGAAACCCTGTTCCCAGCTTACAGGAAAGTGGTGGCTGCCGGTAGACCCCGTGCCACCAGCAGGGAAAGAAACGCCCCAACCCACTTAACCGTCCATAAAGAGCGCTGACTACACGGAACCTTCTGGGAACTT